GTGCAATTCAATCGCAAAGATCTGAGGCGCACTGCCACTGCGCCCGTCACCCTGAGACTGACAAGTCCCATGTGCCTGTAATTTCACCAACACCCTTACCCTTCGAAACCGGAACGCAGTAATGTTCACATTACTGCTTAGCGGCAGAAATACGTAAATTGGCAGTGCTTCCTTGGACGAACTCTTTCACAAGGAGGTCTGCTGCTATGAAAATCCCAATCCTCATCGGGCCCGCTTGGTAACTCTAGCTTAAGTCTCTCTATGCCCAGCACTGGGACTTTATATCATCATTGTCATTTCAGCCGAAAGACGTCCACTGCTAAAAACAGGCCTCCCCCAAAGAACGCCACAACAGCCTGTTTTGTGCCATCCAACGGATTTCCACAACCTTAATCAGGCCATCGGTTCACCTTGTGGGTGGTCTTCCCACGCTGTGTCTATATATAGGATCTGCGTGGGTCTATATAGGCTTCTTCTTAAAGTGTCTCTCTAAGTAGTGAAGGTTGGCAGTCAGCTCAGAATATTTACCTTTATTACTGGCGAGGCTGAACAATTGGACGGCACTTGCCATCCCAGTCCGTTCTCGTATGTTCCTCAGCCACAATTTTTTCCTACGACAAGCTTTCCTTTTACCAGCGACTTTTCCCATCGTTATCAGTTGCAGAAGCTCGTGTCTGCCATGCCTAAGTATATGACCCAGATATGCAACTTATCGCTGTTTGATGGTCTGCAAAGTTTACACTTCTGTCCAATTAGTCGCAGAACTTCGTCCAAAGTAGCTTTTTGAGTCCATGATAAGTGCATTATTCTTCTGTAGGCCCACATTTCAAATGCTTCAATACGTTTCCTGAGATGCTCTTTTATTGTCCAAGCCTCATACCCGTATAGAAGCTTTGGCCAGATGTAACACTGAAGAAGTCGAGTGCGTAAAGGAATCTTAAGACAATATCAGTCAAAAGTATTATACTTTCCTCACAGTACCTATTAAAGGCACTCCTGGTAACTTCAAACTTTAACTTCTAATTCACAATGCTATGTAGGCTATGGCGGCGCAGGCTCTGTGGCCAGAGCGGCTGAGAACCCTAAAGGCTCAAATACGCCAACCTTGCTCTGTGCTACAGCTTTGTGTCTTTTGCAGCTGAAACCCTGGGTCCCTGGGGACCACAGGCGAAACTTCCAGCGAATGAGTTGTCGGATCGCCTCGTAGAAGCCTCCGGTGACCACAAGGTTGGCAGTTATTTCCGCCAAAGAATAAGTTTAGCAATTCAAAGGGATAATATTGCCAGACTTCTGGGCACGATGCCCCAGAGTACGGCCTTGGACGAAATTTTCTATTTATAAACTTTCTTGCATTTTTTATGTATCTACTTGATACTATATATATATATGATAAATAAATCCAAGTTTTAGTTAACTTGTAATAATGACATTTGAAGACGATATAGGCTATTATTTATTTTTATAGCAAAAATAATGTCAGATATCGCAGTTAGTGAGGATGTATCCCTATTTTGTAACCGACGACGCACATTAAACAGCACGACCGTTTATTCTGATTAGTCAATGTTCTATTTGGTTTTCCACATGTATCATTGGTTGTATTCCATATTGGCTCGGCTATTGCGGTTGTACTGGAATTTGCGTTCGGTATAGATCAACACAATTAGTGTGGACGCTATTTGATTTCTATTCGTTTGAGATTCTAATTGGAATTTGAAATTGGTTTTGTCGCCAGCTTTTGTGATGCGATGAAATATTTGATTTAGGTACATCGTACATTAATATATAATAATCGCAGTACAGAGTACTATAAGAACCGATCTCAAAAGTACGTGGAATTACATCTATTTGCCAAGTTTATTGAAATCGGTTACCGGAAAGTGCGCAAACCCGGATTCATCCCCTAGTTCGCCAGTATACGGAGCTTGACACAGGAGATAATAAAAATCGGTTCTCACTTCTCAACGTATATTGAGAGAAAAACGCCTTGAATTGGAGAATAGCAAAATCAACCATTAAAATAATTGCTCCTTATAATACAATTTAGGCGCTATATATAAAAATGAACCTTCATGCGTGAACAGCCACTCTTGGAGGTGGATGATTTTCTTCAAAATTAAATGGACCCGCCGGGACGACGGCGCCGGAGCTTTCGCGAGCGTCAATGTGTTACAATCATTCTCGAATAGCCGGTCTCGTTCTGTTCCCAAGTTGAAACGGAGTACGAAACGATCTCGAAGAAGTACGTCCAGTTCCGTTCCGAAATCACAATTAATAGCTAGTCGAGCTGCCCAGTCTTGACTACTTTCCGTCACTGATTTCGTGGCTTCAAAAAACTTGGCTCTGTCTGCGAAGGTTGACCGTTTCGGAGTAAAATGCTGGTTGAGTACTTGAACTAGCTGAGCGTATGATTTAGCTTCTAGTTTATCTGGGTGCACAAGATTCCGAACCAGGCGGTAAGACTCATCCGACAAATGAGTTAACAATACCGCACTTGCACTATCGTTCGAAATACTGTTTAACTTAATAAACTGTGTTAATCGCCCGTAAAAAACGTCCCATTCTTGCACACTATGATCGAAAACTCCAATATTTCCAATAACTTTGTCCATCTTGCTCACAAAAAAAAATTGTGGGTAAAATCCGTCCTTGTCGCCAGATGGAGTGTCGATAGGTAGCAATGAAACGACTGCACTACTGCGTAGCTAGTTTATTACTGGTTTTGTCGGTAGTTGTACAATGACATATATACCAGACCACTATGGAGATATCCTCATAAATCAAAAAGAATCATGAAAATCGGTTCACAAATATCGGAGTTATCGCGTAACATACATACAAAAAAAAAACATACATTCGAATTGAGAATTCTAGCAAAATGATCTCGATGTATAATAACCTGTGTTTATATTTAATATCTGACTTAAACATACATTTGATACAAACTACAAAACATTTATCTACATGAAACACTTAAATACAATTTGCTATACCCTGCCAGGGTCAGGATCATAATATTATTTACTCTTAACAACTGTATTTACACCATGGTTGCCATAAACAAAAAAAAAAATCCGGAACTTAGGAGGAAGTCTTTGAATCTGCTGGCTTAGTTAGACAGGAGGATACAAAATACTTCGTCCGAATAGGTAGCACGTTTACGATATTTAGTAGCAGTAGAACTCCATTTGAAGAAGTTCGTCCAGGGAAGTGCTGCTATCTTATCTATTTCTGCCGCCAAGCAATATGGTATGCATTACGGGCACATGGGACTTGTCAAGCTATGTCTCAGGGTGACGGGCACAGTGGCAGTGCAACTGTTATGGATAGGCGTGTCGCTTGCCACCAGGCGCACAACTTGTCTATCACGTCACTTGGTGTTATAAAAAAAAACATAAAGAAGGAAAGTTCAGGAGTGTTCACTAGCAAAGGAGGAACGGTGAATGTGGATATAAATTTAAAAAATCATCGCATCTTCAGCCTATGGCTGTCCGCTACTGGACATAGGTCTCCGCAAATGTGCGCCCATTCGCCCGATCCTCCATTTGTCATATCCATAGCCTGGCATTAGGCATCGCCACTGTCCGAAAGGCATCAGAAAAATGTTGTATACGGCAGTAAGAGAATAGATCTCGTTATATCATTCACGCTAGCAGCCCAGTAGGTATGTTATGAACAAGTCGCTAAACAATGCCGAGCAATTAGGGTCAATCAATGATGTATTATGAAAAGCCTTGAGTAACAGTGTAAGGGTAAGAATGTATTTTATATAATTTAATAACAGTTAGATTTATAGTTATGGGAGATCGGTTGGTACGCAATGTTTTTTTTTTGTTTTTTTGTGATGTTACGGATAAGTCATGCAACTGTTATGGACAGTCGTGTGTATAGTAAACGATCATTACGACTTGTTCGTTCCGTCACATAGTTATTATAAAAAAACCGGAATTCAGTAATGCTGATGATTACTGCTTGGCGGCAGAAATAGGTAAGATGGCAGTACTACCTTGGGTGAACTTGACGATGTGACCTCCTTATATCGACATCCCATCTTTTTATCGCATTTGCTCCGGTCCCTGGCTACTCGTTTTTAAATTTTGAATCGTACTTTAATACTATACTACTTTAAACTGCCTCCGTGGCCGAACGGTTACCATGCCGGACTGCCACGCAGAGGTCCCAGGTTCGATTCCCGGGCCGGGAGAAATATTTGTATGGCCTACAATTATTTCTCTCGTGAGTTTGGGTGTAATTTGTGGTTGTCTATGTGTGTGTCCATGGTACCCGCGACCCAGGGTTTCCCTAGTGCGGGGCTATGTTGAGTGTGTGCGTTATTTATTAGAGGGTAGATGGCGCTATCGTCATAGTAGGAACGGCTCCGTGTAAAGAAAATATAAATAAATAGTGTTTTTCTCTAATTTCACATAGAATTTGTTGTCAGTTAGTTACTTAGTTGCTATCAAGCTGTGTGAGTGTTATCTGTGTAAAATATAAACATTTCATCAAGATAACGAGTGTAAAAGTGATCTACTTTTCCTGTCATAAAAACATTTTAAAAAAGACTCAATATATTTGTTATTGTTATAGAACAGTGTCTAATAGCAAAGTATAACACAAATATTGCGATATTAACTTAATTCCAAAACAAAGTAGAAAATAAATAGTGCAGTGTTAAAATTGACGGTTACTTCACTTTAATTTAAATGGACACACCTAGTTATCACTTCACCAAGCCTCGATAATAGTGACATCTAGGAGCAATATATTGAACTAGTTGGCCGGCCGGAATCGACTTATTAATTACATATCTATACGGACATTCAAGTACCATAGAGTAACTAAAGATGGCACAACCTACCACCACCTGTGCGGGATGTTTACAAAAGATAGAAACTCGTCAGTTTCTAAAATGCAGCTTATGCGCCAAAAATTTTGATCTTATATGTGCAAATGTTTCTGAAAAGCGTTTCTTAAACACTATGACAAAAGATCATAAAAAAATGTGGAAATGCCCTGAGTGTTTGAATAGCAGGCCTAAAAGCGACAATACAAACACTCCAATCAAGCCGGTTGCTCCTATTAGTTTGGATTGCGCTGACAATAACATTACACTGCGAAGTCGACCCACCACGACAACTCAAGGTTCTGACTCTTCGCCAGCTCCTGGACCACTATTCACTACCGAATCCTCGCAATTTGAGCTTGTTAGTGAGTTACGCCTACTTCGCGAAGAAATGAAAGCATCGCGATCGGAAATGAAACAGTTCAGAAGTGCAGTAGCAGAGCTTACAGCTGCTCTCAGCATGGCCAACCAGCGAATAGATGAGCTCTCGACACGGGTCGACGTATTAGAGCGCCAACCGCGTGAAGCAACAAACGGCAACGTATCTGTTCTGGAACAAACTATTGAGAGCCTGAAACTCGACCTCAACGATCGCGATCAGGAGATGCTGTGCAACGACATAGAAGTGGCGGGTGTCCCAGAAGAAAAAAATGAAAGCACTGTTCATCTGGTGCTCAGTTTGTCAGCCAAGCTAGGAATCAAACTGGAGGAACGTGATATCGTCAGTGCTGAGCGAGTTGGCGGCGTGCGGCGCGCGGTTGTGGGGGAAGACGCGGCAGTGCGGTCTCGGCCGCGGCCACTGGTGGTGCGACTGGTGCGGCGCTCTTCGCGGGACCAGTTGCTGACGGCGGCACGCGTGCGCCGTGGTGCCACTACGGCGGATATGGGAATGGCGTCAGCTGCAAGACTTTTCTACGTCAATGAGAGACTGACACGATATAATCGTCAGTTGTTTTATAGGGCGCGTGCAGAGGGTACTAGTGCACAATGGAAGTACGTGTGGACTCGCGGTGGGAGTATTTATGCGCGTAAAGAGCACGGCGCGCCGCGCTATCGCTTGCGCAGTGAGCACGACATATCTAAAGTTTTTTGTCGTCTTTCCTGTTAGCTTTATTGTATTTTGTTAACACGTTCATTAAGGCCATTTTATTAATTTTTATTATTTTTACATTTTTAATTTCAAGTTTATTTTCGTATTGTTGTGTCTTCGGTTTATATTACAAAGATCAGTCTGGGCGTTGTCATGATGTTTTCTTTTTATTGGCATATTTGCGTGTTTTTTTTCGTTATGTGTTTGTCTATGGATTTATATATATGCACATGTAAAATACTAGTATTGGGTCGACATTGTACTGTTTGTATTTTATTTAAAAAATATATTTCTTGTGTTTCTGCCGCAATTTTAGTTCTGTTCTTGTTATTGTATAGTTGTCGGCATAATGGTTACTAGTAAATATCTCAAAGTTGGTCTATATAATCCAGGCTCACTCGGAACGAATCATGATGATTTAATTGTGGCAGTAATTCAACATTCTATTGACGTCCTAGCTATTAACGAAACGTGGTTACGACCAAACCAAGAGGGCAAAGCTCCTTGTATCCCGGGGTATACACTGCGTACCGCTCCACGCTCCGCTCACGTGCGCGCCGGTAGGGGTGGTGGAGTTGCATTTTACCTTAGGAAAGGAATTTATGCTCGTGCTTGTGACCATCCAGTTTGCTTACAAGTGGAACAAATGTGGCTTAAAATTAACGTAGATGGTTTGAAAATTATTTTGGGTACTGCGTATCGCCCACAATGGCTTTCTGTTGACGTATTTTTAAATGCAGTTACTGACTCTATTAATTCTTTGTCTTATTATGACAAATTAATTCTTCTTGGAGATTTTAACATTGACCTTCTAGACCATACATCTTTAAACTCAATTAAATTATTAGACACTATTGAATTATTTAATTTAAAGCAAGTGGTTGACACACCCACCCACTTTACAGAACATAGTAAAACCTTGATTGACCTTGTTTGTACTGATTGCCGAGTTCGCAGTATTTTCACAGAAGTGATAGGTACCAAACTTACAAACCATGCCTTAGTCACATGTGAATTTAGTTTTAAAAGACCACGGCCCGTACAAAAGCGTCTGACGTATCGTTGTCTAAAAGACATAAATTTAGACTTTTTTCAAGGCGACCTTAGATCATTTCCTTGGTATTATATCTTACAATTGAACGATGTAAATGAAATGTGTATTTCGTTGACTGATTACATTACAAACATTTTTGACCTACACTCTCCTACCAAATCTATTTTGATTAAACAACGCTCTTATCCTTGGATTACTGAAAACATCAAGCTAATGATGAGATTAAGAAACGAAGCTCACACGAGATATCACAAAACCGGAGATGAGTCACATAAAAGATATTACAAAGATCTCAAAAATCTAGTTAATACTTCCCTAGACCTGGAGAAATCTGCATATTTCAGACAACATATAAACAGACACATAGGGGACTCTGCGACATTGTGGAGGAATATCAAGTTAAATGTGCTTCCTCCAAAGCCTGAAACCGACCTCCCCTCTCATCTTTGCTCGGCTGATGATTTAAATAGACATTTTCTGGACTTTGCCTTTGACGTATTGGATAATGATAGCTCAATACTAAAATATTTCAAACTTAACAGAGCCGGAAATTTTATCTTCACTCTTAAAACTGTTGATTCAACATCGATCTTAAGGATTATAAACAATCTTAAGTCTAATGCCATGGGGGTCGATATGATCTCTTTGGACATGCTACTCTTAACATTACCCTATACCCTCGAAACTTTAGTGTCAATAGTCAACACCTCAATACTAGGTTCGACCTTCCCAGATATTTGGAAAACAGCCATCGTACGGCCTCTTCCCAAAAATACAAATCCAGTTACTTTAAAAGACCTTCGTCCTATTAGTATACTGCCGTGCATGTCCAAGGTGCTGGAGAGAGTTGTGTGTCAACAGCTCACAGAATTTTTGGAATCGAACAGCATTCTTCCACAATGTCAGTCGGGTTTTAGGAAGAAACACAGCACTTCTACAGCTCTAATTGATGTCACAAATAGCATTTTAGAGGCTCAGGATAAAGGAATGGGCACTATACTTGTACTTTTAGATTTTTCGCGTGCCTTCGATACCATGAGTATCCCTCTTTTATTATGCAAGTTGGTCTATTACGGTTTTGACGAAAGTACAGTCAAATGGTTTGACAGTTATCTGACTAACCGTTCTCAGTATGTTCAAATTAGTAGAGGCGCTGGTTCTGTGTCATCTTCCTCTGTTGCCCATGTTCGTAGTGGTGTCCCCCAAGGCTCAATACTCGGACCTTTGCTCTTTGTACTATATGTTGCTGATATCATCGGCTGCATAAAGAACTGTAAATATCATCTATATGCAGATGATCTGCAATTATACTTATCATGCAAACCAAGAGATGTTGATGCTACAGTAAACAGCATCAATGAGGACCTACAGAGAATTTGTCAGTGGTCTAAACAAAATTCACTCTCACTAAATTCAAACAAATCTAAATATCTCATATTAGGTACTAGACAACAGGTCTCAAGCATAATTTCGATGGAGCCTCAAATAACCGTTCACGGAGAGGCAATCGCTCGAGTTCACGAAGCGCGTATTCTAGGGCTCATTTTGGACTGCGAGCTACGATTTAAATCCCATATAGCAGAAGTTGCTCGTAATTGTTTTTACCGTCTAAAAATTTTATATAAGATGAGAGATTATCTCAGTACCGATTTACGATTAAAGCTGGTGGAATCGTTAGTTTTGTCCAAATTTAATTATGCAGACACAGTTTATGGTCCTCGTCTTCTAGGTAAAACTAATGATTTAATACAGAGAGTTCAAAATGCGTGCCTAAGATTTTGCTACAAAATACCACCTAGAAGTCATATATCGCCCTATTTAACTAAGGAAAAGCTTTTAAATATGTCTTCACGTCGATATCTGCATTTAGCCACTCTTCTTTTTGGTATAGTGAAACATAAAAAACCACCTTATCTATATGAACAACTAATATGGTCGTCACGATCTCGCCTTGGTCAACTATGCATCCAGCGCCATAATACCGCGGCGTTTAAGGGAAGTTTTAAGTATGCCGCAGCGAAGATCTGGAACGATCTGCCTCCTCCTGTTCGCAATACAACGTCATTATCTGGTTTTCGTAAAAGTTTAAAGGACTGGACGTTATTACAACAAATGAACGGCTACAGCTTCCTCCCTTTCTAAAATTGTTGATATTTTGCATATTTTATTTGTTTATATGGATAACTTTTAAACAGACTGATCACACTTCACTTTTATTTTATTATATAGTTTTTAATTATTATTATGTTTTTGTATTCAATTGATATTTTATTTGTATTCTCTTTTTTTTTTCTTTTTGTTTAATTGTAATGTTTAATGTGTGCGTTTTTTTTTTTTGTTTAATTGCAAAGCCGTCTACTTCCTACCAGGCTCCAGCTGAAAACCAGCGTTGTGGCTCTGCCCAACATTATGCTGAGCTGGCTAGCCTTTTCGGCTAAGATTGTATTGTTTTTTTATATTATTACTTTTTTGGCATGTAAATTTAACTAGTCGAATAAATGCTTCTTTCTTTCTTTCTTTCTTTCTATTTATTTTAATAATTTTTTTGCCTCGCCGTTCTGATTTTGTTTCGTTCCATCGCCACTCCCTGCCCGATCACGGTAGCGAACACGTCTTCTCTTTAACTTTTTGAATCGTTTATGAGTTACCAAAAATCTCATGTGCGATAAACATTTTAAAGATCACAAATATTAATAAAAGAGGAATAATATTTATAAAACTGGATTTATTACCACTAATTCTTTACCATTTTGAACTTTAAACTCGCTAAACAAGATGTGCGGAGGCTACTACTACTCTCCTGCTACATTACAATCCTACAGAACATTCCAAGCAGCACCACCGGCAGTGGTACTGCTAGCAAACTCTTTCACAGGGAGCGCTACTGCTATTAAAAATATACATTGTAGTTTGCTAGGTTATACAATTTAGGAGGTTATACGGAGCCCGTTATTTGATGAAGACAAAGATGATATGGGCAAGGAAATCGAACATTATAACTATAACGTCGTCCGCCTATGACACAAAATTGGCACGCAATCTTATTTAACTTCGTGTCATGACACAAAGGATGTAAAATTAAAAGGCACAAAGAACATTTACAGATAGATCGTAAATTCTCCAGTTACGTGGACCATTTGGTTTTATGGCAGCGCAGCGAGCTTTGAATTTTAGACTTCGTCACGTTTCGACTTAGTTTATGGTCTTTTGTTTCTTGTTCAATGTAGTACTAAATTTAGCATTATTGTTTATTAGTGTTCTGTGTTCTTTTCTGGGTAACGTAATTGCGTTACTGGCGAAGCAGGTTGATACCACAACCCTGTAATATTAAAAACCACACTGCCTTGGAAATGAAAATATTTTTTGGTTCTAATCGTTTTTGTTTTTTACAAACAAACCAAAGTTTCGAACCCATGGTAAAGGCTGACTGAGATTGTAAAGTCATCAAGCAGTTAAGTCTAGTATTAATGGAAGCCACCCTATTTTTTACTACCTTATTTCAAAATTTGTCAAAGACATTCCAATTTACGCTACGTACTGTTCTTTTTATTAAGTTTAATTTGTTAAATAAATTATATTGTTAAATTAAATTAAATAAGGAATAAATGGGAACGAATAAATTACTTTATTCCGCCGCAAACATGTCAATGGCCGCAAAGGAATAAATGAGCTTCCAATACACGACAGAAGTATAATGATGGCAAGGGTGGCAGATGTTGATTAAAAACACGTCTTTTTTTTTTTATTTATTCAAACGGTACATGCTCATAACATAAATTTAGTTATCGCCAAACTGTAACCAGTTTGTTGGCGATGAAGCGCTCAATACATAGTCGAATCATGCACCTATGCAAATACAGTGATCATCTTAAAACTAACATGGACGAATAACTAATTACAATATTTATATGTTTTCCAAAAGTTAGGCTTTTAGTCTCTTTTTAAGGACCGACTTATTTAGCTT